TTAAAGCTTTTAGGATTTTTTTCATTTCTACATAGGAATCAGCAGGAATTGCGATATCGTCTGCATATGCAAATAAAATTATTTCAGTGAGGTGACTTAGAGAAACTCCCCTAATCCCCTCTGATTTTAAAAATTCCTCGAAATCCGCGATGAAACAGGAGAAGAGCAAAGGGCTCAAAACCTCTCCCTGCAAGACTCCCCTAGTAACCTTTGTATATTCTGAAATACCAGAAAAACCCTTGACTGCAATTTTGGCTTTAGAATATAGATTTATTAATATATTAATAAATTTGCTTCCTATTCCCATTTTGTATAATTTTTCCCACAATAATTTATGCGTGCATAAACGGGATTGTATTAATGCATTTAATGAAAAAATATTGTCAACACAACTTCTATTCCTTCTGAATCCCGTATGCCATTCGGGTAAAAGGTCGTTTTCTTCAACCCATTTATATAATCTCGTAGCGAGAATTTGCGTAAAAACTTTAGCAGAGTTGTTTACGAGTGCAATTGGACGGTAATTCTCCGGGTTCGATTTTTCACCTTTTTTAAAGATCATTTTTGCTAATATATTTGCCCATGAATTTGGTACTTCTTCCCTTTCCATGATTTTATTAAACAAAGTTAGAAAATAATTTATCCATATATCTGGAAGATTCTTTAAAAATTCATATGAAATCCCATCAGAGCCCGGAGACTTACCCTCCTTGCATCTTCCCAAACTCTTTTTTATTTCCAAATAAGTAACTTCTTCGTCTAAAAGTGGGTTGGTCAATGGGATGACAATTGAAGGAATATTCGAGTTCGATGGGAATATTGATTGAAAATAGCAAAACCATTCTTTTAAATCAATTTGATCCTCTATAGTCAAGCGGGTTCTGAATTTGTTTATAATTTTCCAGAAATTAGCGGAGTTTCTCACCGAAGATAATTGGCTTAACAACGAATTTTTATATTCTTCCTTTTTTGATTTTTGAAGACTTTTATACATTTTTTTCTTATCGTTATAATCCTGGACCATTTCTATTATAGCAAAGTTATTATTCTTACATTTTTTTAATGACTCTTTCATACTATTTTTAAAGTAAACACATTCGCTGTCAAACCAAGGTTTTGATTTGGATTTTATCGCGCAATCCTTTACCCGCATACCCAAACTAATCGCGTTATCACAAATATTTTTAACCAAAGCGTTCGACAATTCGTTAATATTCTCTTTTTTTCCTATATCTATCAGTGTTTCACTCATAAGAGATGTATACTCCTCCTTTAATTCACTTTTCCATTTTAAACGAATCACGTCCTTAACAAATAAAATTTTATCATTTGCTTTTAACATTTTTATTGATATCGGGAAATGATCCGAGTTCGTAAAAATATAATCAACCGAAAAATCTTCCACCCCTTCTAGACCTATAATATTAGTCCAAGCGAGATCTATTGTAGATTTACCCAAAGTGCTTACATGTGTGTATCGTGAAGGAATATCTCCCTTAGTTCTACCATTCAAAACAAGATAGGCATTTCTTTCCATAAAAGTTACCAGTTTTTTACCCCTTACATCTAATTTCTTATCTAAGTTAAATCTTTCGCTGTTGAGATAACAATTTTCATCAATTATTTCGTTTGTCAATTGATTTAAATCAGCAATGCGAGAATTAAAATCGCCACCAATATAAAAAGGTAAATTAGGATATTTATTACTTATCTGATCAATTAAATCTTCAAAATTTGACAAAAAAACATCAAGGTCCTTGGTAGGAGAAATGTAAACAGTACTTACTATGAATTCAAATTTAGAATATCGATTTACGAATTTCACAATCATACAGTCCTCGGTGATTCCTATAATTTCCTTGTTGTATTTATTTTGATTGAAGGCCACGATGATTCCTCCCTTCGCTCTTCCCCTTGTCGCCGTCTTCGTCGCTGGAGAGTACAGAACATCAAAACCGTTAAAGTGTCTCTTGAAGGTGACAGAAGGGTCGTTCACAGCCCATGTCTCATTGAGACAGATAATATCATTAATACTAACAATAGGTATCAAATCAGTTAAATTTATAAGGCCCCTGACGTTCCAAAATGTAATTTTTGAACAACTTTTGTGTGAAAATTGCTATGTAGTTTGAATAGGTTGCTTAATAGACTCATCTTTTGGACGGAAAAAATCTTTTGACAAAAATAATATTCTATAACTAAGATGTAAGTATAAAAATGTTTTCAAAAAATTTTAAAAATCACAAATTTTCAAATTTTACATTTTTTGATGAATTGCTTTTAAACTCTGTATAATTGAGTGATACATGTTATTTAGTCATATTTTAGCATAATTTTGCACAAAAAAATGTTGAATTTTAAGAAATTCGGTTTTTCGAATTTTTGATAAATTTCAATAATTTTAAATTTTTTACCCAGGGGTGGAGACTATTAAATAAGTAAAGTATTTTTGAAGTGCCCAAATATTTTTGAAATATTTTTGAAGCTAAATGCTATAAAACAGATGAAAAAATGTTGAATTTTAAGAAAATCGGTTTTTCGAATTTTTGATAATTTTTAATAATTTCAAATTTTTGACCAAAGAGTGGAGACTATTAAATAGGTAAAGTATTTTTGAAGAGCACAAAAATAATGAAGCTAAATGCCATAAAAAAAAGAAAAAATGTTGAATTTTAAGAAATTTGGTTTTTCGAATTTTGCTAATTTTCCATAATTTTAGATTTTTTACCAAAGGGTGGAGACTATTAAATCAGTAAAGTGTTTTTGAAGTGCCCAAAAATAATGAAGCTAAATGCCATAAAAAAAAAGAAAAAATGTTAAATTTTAAAAAATTCGGTTTTTCGAATTTTTGATAAATTTCAATAATTTCAAATTTTTGACCAAAGGGTGGAGACTATTAAATCAGTAAAGTGTTTTTGAAGTGCCCAAAAATAATGAAGCTAAATGCCATAAAAAAAAAGAAAAAATGTTAAATTTTAAAAAATTCGGTTTTTCGAATTTTTGATAAATTTCAATAATTTCAAATTTTTGACCAAAGAGTGGAGACTATTAAATAAGTAAAGTATTTTTGAAGAGCACAAAAATAATGAAGCTAAATGCCATAAAAAAGAAGGAAAAATGTTGAATTTTAAGAAATTCAGTTTTTTGAATTTTTGCTAATTTTTGATTTTTTGCTAAAGGGTGGAGACTATTCAAATAGTAATATTATACTACCGAAGTAGCGAATGGTAACTTATTATTAATTTTCCGGTGAAATTAAATTTCCGGCTATTTTCTGATTTTCCAGGTTGGTAGAAACATTGTTATAAATGTATTGGCAGAAACTAAAACCCGTCGAAGACGGGTACGACAGCTAGTTAATTAATAAAAATCAGTAAAAAATTACTAAAAAATGAAATATTTTTTAAGCAAGTAAACTTTTCTGAATCATGAGATTATCATCGTAAAGCTTACCTAATTCCGCATCCAACAAGTATAATTACACCTATTTTTACAAATAATTGTTAAATAAATAAATAATTGAAAATTTATTTATTAATTTTTTGAAATTGTTTATAAAAAATAGTTAAAAATAAACTTGTTGGGTGCGGAAGTTGGTAAGCTTTACGTTTGCAAGCGCAAAATTGAGAAAAGTTTAATTCTTTGAAAAATAATAATTTTTTAAAATAATTTTTATTAATTAATTAATAAATAATACGAAAAGAAAAATGTCATTTTTTCCTAATCGGGTATTAAAAGTACACATATTAAGCTTTGCTTGAAATAAGAATAAAAATAAAAAATGTCATTTTTCCAAAAATGAATAAATAAATAATCAATTATTTATTTATTTAACAATTATTTATAAAAAACAGTTTAGTTTGTGCTTGTTGGATGCGGAATTAGGTAAGCTTTACGATGATAATCTCATAATTCAGAAAAGTTTACTTGCTTAAAAAATATTTCATTTTTTAGTAATTTTTTACTGATTTTTATTAATTAATTAATTAATAATTTGAAAACAAAAAAAACGTCATTTTTTCAGAATCAGTTATGGAAAGTACACATATTAAGCTTTATTTTAAAGAAAAAAAAGAGAAAAAATGCCGTTTTTTAAAAAAAAGTGAAAAATATTTTTAATTTTGAAAAAAATTAGTTAAATTGTTAATTAAAAAAAAAATTTTTACACCATTCGAAAGAGGAGGAAAAAACCTTTCGAAAACATATAGGTCAAAATTTTGTCCACTCTACTGTATTTTAGCTATATTAGCTAAAAGAATCCACTGTCCACACGTTACCAAAAACTTTAACCCCCTCTCACCCCTACAATTTTTAATAAAATATCTTAATATTTTATGGGTAAAGTTCTCTCCCATAGTATTAAAGTTTGTGCAAAAATCAGCCCGATTTGAAGACTTTCGATTTTAAGTTAGGACAATTGAGGAATTTTGCCCCGTTTATATTTGTCTGTCATGATGCAAAATGTTCCGTCACTCTTCCGTAACAAGTATTTATTACAAATTACTTTCGTAGAATATTTGGACATTTTTGTGTTACAAGATGGTTATGTAACATTTATCTGACACTGTTACCTGTATGTTACCTAACTGTTAAGTTAACAGTGTAATTATTAAATGTCACTAAAGTTTTCAATGTTCAAAAGAACAACATTTCTTTCTATTTAAATATTTTAAAAAAATTTTATTATAAAATGGAAAAAATAATGTAAATTTAATATTTATTTAGTTACCAATTAATTTTTTAATATGTACAAGAAATAATTTTTATAGTAAAATACAAATTAAGAGAAGTAACAAAAATATCGACTTTAGAAACATAAATAATTAGGTACTAATTATTATTTCAGTAAAGTTATTAGTTAGTAATAATACGTTACGTAACAGTAACAGAACATTATAACTATATTACAAAAGAGACAAAACTGGGAATTCATTACTGAACAAAAAGTTTGGTAAAAAGTTTTTTCAGCATGTGTTGAATAAATGGAAATTGTTACTCACTAGTTAGAAGGCCTTTATTTGACACTGGTCAAAATACTAAATGTGGTTCTAGATTCTCTAACAATTAAAATACCCTCGAGACTCTCTCACTTTGCACTTTGTGCGGTTTAAATACATACTGATATTTCAGTACTATTACAAAAGTGTGTCATGTGCCTTTTATTTCTGCGGATAACTAAATTTCAGCCTGCCTTTCCATTCCATTTAACGATGAATATCTTCAATATTTTTTTTCACATCCATTCTCCCGCAGTAGATAGAAAACAGCAGTTAAAATAAAAAAGGGACATTTAAAAGTTTTGATAGGTCAGGATAATATGAAAAATAAAGGCATGGTTTACAATTCCTTGCTTATCCCTATACTAGAATATGGAAACTATAATTTATTCTTTTAAACGTTATTTTTATAAAATACTGGTTACTTTTTATTTCTGCTGCTTTGAAAAAATTTTGATGTGTTATCATTAGTGTAAATGTAGTATAAAAAAAATTTTACTATGTATTTGAAAAATTACACTGAGAAAAAAGATTTGGTAATAAACGGGACAATTTTCAATTTATATTGTTTAAAATTTTAAAGTATATAAAAGAATGTCTTTAACGAATTACGAGGTTGCCTACAAATCTGATATCTGGTTTTCGAAATTTAAAATGGCGAATTCAATATGTAAATCAATCTTTTTAAAACTTCACCAAATTCGTAATAAACGACCCCAAAAATCACTGAATACAATAAATTAAAAGAAAGTCCAACAAATTGGTTACCTCATTTTGAATTTCTAAAATTTAACATCAGATTCCTTATTAAAAGGTGAAATTTATAAAAAAGTGAAATTTTTCGAGTTAAAAATCAACTCCAAAAGGGAGTTAATTATTAAATTGACTCCCTTTTGGAGTTGATTCTTATTTTTACTGTGTAAATTTTAACTCCATTCATCCAACTCCCAAATAAGTGCGACTTTTATAGAATCCCCTGGGGAGTTAAAATTTAACTCCCTTTTTTTACAGTGTAGTAAAAAAACTTTGATGATTCAATTTTTTTTACTGCATGCAAAACAGAAAATATTTACTTTTCCATTTTTTTGACCTTAGATTCGTGATCAGCGACCCCAAAAATCCCTGAGTAAAAAGTTTTAATCAAATACATTCGATTTTTAAAATGTCGTTCGCCATATTTGATCCGCTATTTTGAATTTTTGAAATTTGAGTTTTTATCAAAAAATGTTGTACAGAAAAGTTGTTTGTATTTTCCTAAATTCGTAATCTAAAATAATAATATAAAGTTAAAAATTTGAAAATTTGAAAAATGGAGTTTTTAAAATTTTGAAACTACTGTAGTTTTTGTATTTTTCAACGAAAATGTCTGGTTAACAAACTTAGCCTTCATTTTTACAACAACTTTAAGTGTGTTAAGTTTAAAAACGATCCGATAAGTTTTACAAAAGTTATCATGGGAACAACATTTTGTATCTACAGATAGACAAACGAACAGACAGACCATCGCCGGACCATGTTTTTCGGGTTTTTCGGTCAATTTTCGACCAAAACTAATACCTTCTCATGTGATGAGAATATTATAAAAGCGTAAACTGAATATTCATGTATTGGAAAAAATGCTTCCGACGCCATTTTGGATCCAATATCTTGGAATTTTTAAAAGTTAGGTTTTTTATTTTTAAGCTTGGATATTACGGATGCGATATTTCAAGTTGAAATATATTTCCGGTTACTGAAAATATGAAACAAAAATTATTTTCTAAACAAAATTGTCAAAAATTCACATAATTTCCAAAAAAGTGTGCATAACTTTTTGAAATTTCTTTTTTAAAAATTTGTTACCAAATTTAGAAAACGAGCGATAAAATATTCGTAGAAAAAGGATGTTCAAGAAATTGGCAACGCAATTTCATTTTTTCTCAAATATGAAAATTTGTGCTAAATTGTGCTGCAAAAAGTTTCTTAAAAATATTATATTTTAAACAAGTTTTTCATAAACACCATTTTTATTGAACTTAAAAACAAAACTTCTGCTGAACCTAGATAACAATACCAAATATTGTGCTAACAAAAAAGTATAAATATTTGTCGGAATTAGAAAAAAATGTTCTTTTTATACTTCAATTTATTAGATCAGTTTTTCAAAAATCAAATTTTTTAAGAAGTAAAAGTTTTGCTCAATTTTGTATGGCGAGCACAATAAAAAAGTCTAATAAAACTTTTTCTACTTTCTGTCTTGAATATTTTTATACCACTAATAATTTAAAAAAGCGTATATGCGCTAATTAATCAGTGAATTGTCTTTAATTCACAGCGTACATACGCTAATTAGAATATGTAGTATACTTATCGCTTTTTTAGATTTAAGAAGTATATAGGTAATAGTATTAAATTAATTAATATACATTTAAATAATAGAAAATTAAAAAAAAATTAAAAAATACATATATCACTAATCGAATTTGTCAGGTTTTTCAATTTTCAAAATGGATTATGCTTTCAATATTAGTCATTAAATTACTTCCTTAGGAGTTAAGTATATCTTCTTCTCGGTTTTTTCTGCTTTTACTTTAACATAAAGAAGTTAGCTATAACTGTGAAAATATTGTCAGAGGAAACTGTTTCGTGCGACAATATTTTCGCCGTTGATATATTTGGACTAGACTGTTATTCCTTCTTGTGTTAGAAGTGATTGAACTTAAACTGTGAATTTCTGGAAAGTCTGTTAAACTTGTAGTTGCCCAATGTCCAATGGGTTCGATCGACTTCAGTATTTGTCGAACGTGCCCGAGGGAAAATTCTCTCTCAACTTCTTCACTCCACTTCTCTCTCTCTCTCTCTCTCTCTCCAACTTTCTTTTCCCTTTGCTCAACTTGAAGAGTTGTAAACCGCCAATAATAGTCAGAGTAGAGGGACAATTACCGAGGAAGAACTAAGAAGTGAGAGAAAACGCGAATCGAGTTTGAAAAACAAATTATTGAAATTTTCTCAACTTTTCAGATAATTTTACAATTCATTTGATTTCATTTGACAGTTAGTTGGATTAGATTTAAGTCTCACTTTAATATAAGTTTTATCTTCAGAATTACAGATTAAAACTTTGATGATTAGTTTCCATCACAATGGTATTTTAAATGAAAAATTTCAGTTGTCTGAAAATTCATCAGTGGTTTCTCATTTCTTTTTTTTTCTTCTGCTTCTCCTTCTACTTTAATTTTTTCTTCCGGTTCATCTTCTATTTCTGATTCGGTTTTTGTTTCTCCTTCTTCTTATGCTTTTGTTTCTGCTTATTCTTTGGTTTTTAATATAATTCTAGTTTTTCTTCTGATTTTCTTTTTTCTTCTGCTATTCTTTCTATTATTTTATTTGGAATTTTTTTCTTCTGGTTTTATTTCTGTTATTTTATAACTTTAAATTTTATTTTTACTTGTGCTTAACCTTCTTCTTTCTGTAACTCATTTTGCTCTGGTTTTTCTTCCCTTTTTTGTTTCAATTCATTTTTTGCTCATATTGATCTTCAATCTGACTTAGATTCTCTGCAGGATTGGGGTTCTCAAAATAATTTTTTCTAATTATAAATAAATGTTCAGTAATTTCTTTCTTTAAAAAAAAATTGTTATAAACTACACTTATGTTATTGACAACATTGTATTAAATCGATCAACACAGATTCGAGATGTGGGGGTCATTTTAAGTTCAGACTTGACATTCACGGAGCACATATCTTTTACTGTGAGTAAAGCTCTTCGCTCTTTAGGCTTTATCATAAGAAATGCTGCTGATTTTAAAAGTTTGGCTTCTCTTAAAGTTCTATATTTTTCATATGTAAAGTCAATTCTCAAATTTGCTTCCATTATTCCTTTAATTCATTTTCACATAATTATGATGACTCACGTTCTACACTGTAAAAAATTTAGGGAGTTAACGGACTCGGGAGTTGGGAGTGAAATTTTTCGAGTTAAAAATCAACTCCAAAAGAGAGTTAATTTCTAACTCCTTTCATTCAACACCCGCGCGAGTTATTTTTTCCATTGGGAGTTAGCATTTGGGTGTTAAATTTTATCTCTCTTTATTTAACTCCCCTGGCATTAACTCTCCAATGGGTGCGACTTTTATAGAATCCCCTGGGGAGTTAAAATTTAACTCCCTTTTTTTACGGTGCAATTTAAAAATTCCAAAAATTAAAGCCAGATTTAAATATAATGACTTGCTTTTCTTGTTCAAAATTCTCAATGGTCACATGAATTGTCCTACATTATTGTCATTAATAAAACTCTGTGCTCCAACTCGCTTCTCCAGACACTCCTCCACATTTTATGTTGAGTTTCATAGAACAAATTATGGGAATAACTCTAGCATAAATGGAAAACGCTGCCCAGTTGTATATTTTTTAAAAAAAAATAAATATGAATAACTTTTTATAAATATGGTAAAAGTGACTAAATCTTGGGTCAATCAATGTATTTTTAAATACCCTACAAGATAGTTAAAATAGTTTAATAGTTAAACAAAAATTTTCAAACAAAAAAGTTGAGAAAATGTCATTTTCCACAATTTTTGGTTTTTAAAATACCAATATTTTTGACATTTATTATCGAATTAGGTTCAAAAATAGGTCAATCGAAGCGTTTTTTAATGCTCTACAAATTGGTAACGATATTTTTAAAGTTACACTTTAAATTATCGACGGGAATTATCGGTACGGCTGCACGCGCACTCGCTAACCGATTAGGATTTTTAAAATCTTTTGGTCTTAAATTAAAGATGAGACTTGAATGATCACACTTTTATAGGTTTTAAATTTTTTCTACAATTTTTAAAAAATGTGCAGAGGTTGAAAAAATTTCCAATAAAATTTTATTTTTTAAATTTTTTTGGCAAATTTGTCGATTGCTGCAATCTTTGTATAAATTATTAAAATTTTCAGTTATGTATCATTAATCGTAGAATTTAATAATCTTTCGAATGGTATATTTGTTAATTTTCTGACATTTGTATTTACAAAAAAATCATGATTTAAAGATTGGTATGTTTTTGGGCCGTGCGCGTGCAGTCGTACCGATAATTCCCGACGGTAATGTACTTCTACATTTTTCAACAAAATTTT